GGAAACTTGCTGTCAAAAATCACACACATTTCTTCTGCTTCTATTTCTTGCCTGGGGCAATGTTTGAAGATGGATCCCTGAATGGGTATGGGGATCTCTCCTCCTCCCTCCTTGCCTCCAGTCCCACTCAACCTCCCTTAACCCAGAATAGAACCTGTTTGAATGGTTTTCATATGTAACAAATAGACTTCTAGTGTTTAAGACATGCTACAGCTCTTAAAACTAGATGGTAAAGGCCAGGGGCAGTGGCTCAGGCCTATAATCCCAACACTTTGGGAGGCTAAGGTAGGAGGATACCTCGAGCCCAGAAGTTTGAGACTAGCCTGGGCAGCATAGCATGACCCCATATCTACAAAAATTTGAAAAATTAGCTGGGTGTTGTGGCATGCACCTTCGGTCCCAGCTATGTAGGAGGCTGAGATGGGAGGATCACTTGAGCCCAGAAGGTCAAGGCTGCAGTGAGCCATGTTCACTCTACAGCACTCCAGACTGGGTAACAGAGAAGACCCTGTCTCAAAACAAAAACAAAAACAAAAATACATGGTGGGAACTCCCATTTAAAAAATGCTTTTTTTACTTATCAAAAATGTAGCAAACAATTAAAATGAGTCTTTTGTAAGAAAAATATGTACATTTTTACATTGACTTACCTTATTTGACATCATACCTAGTATGTATTTCCAAATTAATTTTGTTCATAAAATCCATGGAAGAGAAACAGTTGCTGGTTAATAAAGTCATAAATCAGCTGGCCACGGTGGCTCACACCTGTAATCCCCGCACTTTGGGAGGCTGAGGTGGGTGGATCACCTGAGGTGAGGAGTTCAAAACCAGCCTGGCCAACATGGTGAAACCCCATCTCCACTAAAAATACAAAAAAGCCAGGTGTGGTGGCAGGCACCTGTAATCCCAGCTGCTCGGGAGGCTGAGACAGGAGAATCGCTTGAACCCAGGAGGCGGAGGTTGCAAGGAGCCAAGATCGCACCACTACACTCCAGCCTGGGCAACAAGAGTGAAACTCCGTCTAAAAAAAATAAAAAATAATAGTAAATAAAAAATAAAGTTATAAATTCTGTAACAATTAACACTGCAAACATGTTTGATTACTATTTTCCTCTCTTCTTTCTAAAGAAAACAGTCATCCGCTGAACTGAGACTCAGGCCTATCTGTTTCTGGTACTAGCTCTGTCCTCAATTCTCCATGTGACTTTGTAAAAGATCTTTAAACACTTATATGCTTATGTTTCCGCATCTATAAAACAAGGATAATGACAAGTTACTCTGCCTACCCGTTATGAGTGTTGTAAAGATACAAAAAGATGTTATTTCCAAAATTGTTTTGAAAAAAGTTTGTAAATAAGCCAATGGTATGCTGAACACCTATCAGAAAGACTATTATTTGGGTATTTCAGGTCTTTTCAAATTTTTGATGATAATATTATATATCAAGCAATCAAAAATTACTTTTTTGTTATCTTTAGATGATGAGGGTTGTTTGGGGTGGAAATCAATACATAAAGGAAGTACCTCAATATGAATAGGTATGTGTTTTTTTCTGACACCAAATGTGTGGCGTCTTTTCCAACAACAAACATATTCTTCCGAAACCAATCAGTTCTTTAACTTCTCTGAAACCAACTGAGTATCCAACAATTCAATTTAATTATTTATTTTAGCAATTACAAATGTTCAGGGTCTATTTAATATAACACAGCCTACCCAAATCTCTGAAAGTTGGGGTCAATGCCAACTCTGGCACTACCCAGAGCTGGCATTGACCCCACAGGCTAAGATGTCAGTCCCACAAGACTGCCCTACTATAGATAACAGCCATGAATGGGGTGACCAGGCCACCCACATTTCTGTGGAGAAGACTACAACTTTGGGGGTTCACAGGACTTCCCTCACGTTGGGTAATTCCTTAGAATGACTCACAGAACTCAGAAAGTATTCTACTTATGATTAGTTTTATTATAAAGAACACAACTGAGGGATGACTGGCTTTGTTGAGTGACCGTGTGGAGGCGTTCTGGTGGCTGGATGTGATTGGCAATTTGCAGCATCCTCATATCCGCTCACGGGTCAAAATGAAAATCTTCATAACGACCTTGATCAGCAAGACAATCACCCTGGAGGTGGAGCCCAGGGACACCATGAAAAATGTGAAGGCCAAGATCCAGGATAAAGAAGGCATCCCCAGCCTCCTGAGTAGCTGGGATTACAGGCGTGCACCACCACAGCTGGCTAATTTTTGTAATTTGTTTTTGGTAGAGATGGGGTTTCACCATGTTGGCTAGGCTGGCCTCAAACTCCTGACTTCAAGTGATCCACATTAATTCTTCACTCTTGCATTCGCAGTGCCCAATGATGGCACTACTCTGCACTATAGCCATTTGCCCCAACTTAAGTTTGGAAATTACCAGTTTCAGTAAACAGTTAAACCTGCTCAAAATGTTAATAAAGGTTTTGTTGCATGGAAAAAAATAAAACCTCAGGAAGAACCAACTATAGGGCAAGGTGGGGAAGGAGGGACAGAGCTTTCATGCCCTCTCCAGGTGAGCCTCAACCCTACCTCCCAACACATAAATACATTCACCAATTCAGAAGCTCCCTGAACCCTGTTGTTCAGGGATTTTTATCAAGGTTTCATCATGTAGGTAAGATTGATTAAATCACTTGCCACTGGCAATTGACCTCAATCTTCTGCCCTTCTCTTCTCCCCAGACATCAAGGTTTGGGGTTGAAAATTCTAATCTTCCAGTCATGTGGTTGGTACTTATAAGACACCCATCATTTTGGAATTTCCAAGAATTTTAGGGACTTTGTGCCAGGAACTGGGGACAAAGATCAACTATTTTTTTTTTAAAGTATACCACAGTAGGGCTGATCACCTGTGTATTAATCTGTTCCCACATTGCTATAAAGGACTACCTGAGACTGGGTAATTTATGAAGAAAAGAGGTCTAATTGACTCACAGTTCCACAGGCTGTAAAGGAGGCACAGCCAAGAAGCCTCGGGAAACTTACAATCATGGAAGATGGCAAAGGAGAAGCAAGTACATTTTACCATGGTAAAGCAGGAGAGAAAGAGTGAAGGGGGAAGTGCTACACACTTTTGAAAAACCAAATCTCATGAGAACTCACTCATTATCAAGAGAACACCAAGGGGGATGTCCTCCCCCATGATCCAATCACCTTCCTCCAAGCATCTCCTCCAGCGCGGGGGATTACAATTCAATATGAGATTTGGGCAGGGACACAAATCCAAACCACATGATTCCTCTCCTGGCCCCTCCCAAATCTCATGTCCTTCTCACATTGCAAAATAAAATTATCCCTTCTCAACAGTCAACAGGCCCCCAGTCTTAACTCATTTCAGCATTAACACAAAAGTCCATAATCAAAAGTCTCATGAGACAAGGTAAGATCCTTCAGCCTATGAACCTGTAAAATCAAAAACAAATTAGTTGTTTTCAAGATACAATGGGGGTACAGACATTGGGTAAATGCACCCATTCCACATAGGAGAAATTGGTGAAAACAAGGGACTATGATCCCATGCAAGTCTGAAACCCAGCAGGAAAGTCATTCAATCTCAAACCTATAATTTCCTTTGACTCTATATCTCACATCCAGGCCACACTGATACAAGGGGTGGGCTCCCAAGGCCTTGGACATCTCCACCTCTGTGGCTCAGCAGAGTACAACACCCTCAGCTGCTTTCATAGGCTGATGTTGGGTGCCTGTGGTTTCTCCATGTGCATGGTGTAAGCTGTCAGTGGATCTACCATTCTGGCGTCTGGAGGATGGTGGCCATCTTCTCACAGCTCCACTAGGCAGTGCCCCAGTGGGAAATCTGTGTGGGGGCTCCAACCCCATATTCTCCTCTGCACTGCCCTGGCAGAGGTTCTACATAATGGCTCTGCCCCCTGAAGCAGACTTCTGCCTGGACATCCAGATTTTCCATACATCCTCTGAGATCTAGGTGGAGACTCAACTTTTGCACTCTGTGTACCCGCAAGCTTAATATCAAATGGAAGCTGCCAAGGCTTGGGGCTTGTACCCCCTGAAGCAACGCCCTGAACAGCACCTTGGCCCATTTTAGCCACAGTTGGAACTGTGCAGTGGCAATGCAGGATGCCATGTCCCAAGTCTGCAAAGAGCAGTGGGGCCCTGGACTTGGCCCACAGAACCATTCTTCCCTCTTGGGCCTCCAGGCCTGTGATGGGAGGGGCTGCCACAAAGGTCTCTGAAATGCCTTCAAGGCATTTTCCCTATTATCTCAGCTACCAACATTTGGCTCCTCTTTACTTATGCAAATTTCTGCAGCCAACTTGAAATCCTCTGCAGAAAATGGGTTTTTCTTTTCTACCACATGGTCAAGCTGCAAAATTTCCAAACTTTTATGCTCTGCTTCCCTTTTAAATATAAGTTCCCATTTCAGATCATCTTTTTGCTCACACACATGGCCATATGCTGTTAGAAGCAGCCAGGTCACATATTGAATGCTTTGCTGCTTAGAAATTTCTTCCACTAGATGCCCTAAATCACCTCTCTCAAGTTCCAAGTTCCACGGATTCCTAGAATAGGGGCACAATGCCACCAGTCTCTTTGCTAAAGCATAGCAAGAGTAACCTTTACTCCATTTCCCAATAAGTTCCTCATCTCTGTCTGAGACCACTTCAGCCTGGACTTCACTGCCAATATCACAATCAGCATTTTGGTCACAACAATTTAACAAGTCTGTAGCATCTTCCAAACTTTCCCTCATCTTCCTGTCTTCTTTTAAGCTCTCCAAACTGTTCCAACCTCTGCCCATTACCCAGTTCCAAAGCTGCTTCCACATTTTCAGGTATCTTTATAGCAATGCCCCTCTCCCAGTACCAATTTTCTGTATTAGTCTGTTCTCGCATTGCTATAAAGAACTACCTGAGACTGGGTAATTTATGAAGAAAAGAGGTTTGATTAACTCATAGTTCCATAGGCTATACAGGAAGCATGGCTGGGGAGGCCTCTGGGAATTTACAATCATGGCAGAAGATGAAGGGGAAGCAGGCACATCTTCACATGGTGGAGCAGGAGACAGGGTGTGAAGGGGGAAGTGCCACACACTTTTAAACAACCAGATTTCATGAGCACTCACTCACCATCACAAGAACAGCAAGAGGGGAGTCAACCACCATGAGTCAATCACCTCCCGCCAGGCCCCTCCTCCAACCCTGGGGATTACAATTCCACATGAGACTTGAGTGGGGACACAAATTCAAACCAGATTAACGTGAAAAGGAAAAACAACAAAATATCCTGGCTTCTTTCTAACCTAATGTCAATACCAGAGCACCCATAGTCAATGAAGATTGCCTCCCCCATTTCCCAAAGTGCCAGGTGAGGTGAGAGCAGAAAAAGAGATAACTGGATCTACGGAATGTACTCCAGTTGAAACGCATCAGGAAGCAGATGCTCTGAACTCAGACGTCTGAGGTCCTGGAGCCCCGCACAAATGGTCCTTGTCCTTCTCCCCAGGCCTGGGCATTGATGCTGAGCTGGAGGCTTCCAGGGTCTCTTCGCCCTCACAGGAATCAGAGTCTTCACTGCTGATCACTGCACAAAGGAACAAAATCCCTTAGGGTCTCAGTGTGGGACCCAGGAGCCAACACAGCAGGAAACACACAATTAGGGACACCAGCAAAGACCTGGGAGCTTGTGTGACTTGCAGGTAGGAATGTCCCTACCCAGCACAGTTACAGTGCTCCTGCGGAATGCTGAGACACAGGGTCCTGGTGCTCCAGTCACTGAAACTAGACCCTGAGGCTGGGGACAAATGGCCACAGTGGCCAGCTTTGAGTGTCTTGCTCTCCATTTCCTTACCCCCTCTCTCTCCTTTCCCTTCCCATTGTCTCTGTCCATTTCTCCACTCCTGCTTCTTTCTTACAGCTTCTCCCTCTTTGTTTCTCAATCTGTTTGTCCTCACTCTGGCATTTTCTGTTTCTGCCTCTTTTACTTCCTTGCACCTCTATCACTCTCCCCTGGCTTTCTTGCTCTACATACCTACCCTCCACGTCTCCTCTGAGCCACTTCTCCCACTCCTAGGTCTCTCTGTACTTTTCCATTTCCCCACTGACTTTCCTCTGTCATGCAGAAGCTCCCTGAACTAAGCACCAGAATCCACGTCTCCCAGCATTCATCCGAGCTCCCTGGGCCACCACGTGGGACTCTGACCACACACCCAGCCTGTCACCTGTGCTGTGACTCATACAGTGTCACCACATCAAGCTTACTGATTATTATACCCTCCACCAGCCTTACAGATTATTTCAGGGGCTTGGTTACATGCCTTCCTTGCCATCTGGATGTCTTCCAGGAGCACAAAACTAGGTTGCACCCAATTTTGGGATCTGGATAGCTTTGCCCCTAGAACAAATAGTGATCTTTGAAGAATTTCCATCTTTTTCCCTCAAAAAAGCCTTATGGTACCCCTCTTCCTCTCTCTCTCCCCAGTTGACTTCAGAGGATCACTCTAGCACTAAATTTCACCTTCTTCTACACTGCCTCACTGCAGATACATTTCTTACTTTCTGTTTTTCTCTCTGTGTTTATCTTTTTACCTTGAACTCTATTTTGTTTTTCTCTTTTCCCTTTACCTGTCATTCTTATTTACTAACTGATAAATGTCTTGGCTGAATTTTGTGTTCTTCACTTAATTAACTTAATCATTAATAAAGACCTTAAGGGCCAGGCATGGTGGCTCATGCCTGTAATCCCAGCACTTTGGGAGGCCGAGGCAGGCGGATCATGAAGTCAGGAGATCGAGACCATCCTGGCTAACAGGGTGAAACCCCGTCTCTAGTAAAAATACAACAAATTAGCCAGGCATGGTGGTGGGCACCTGTAGTCCCAGCTACTTGGGAGGCTGAGGCAGGAGAATGGCATGAACCTGGGAGGCGGAGCTTGCAGTGAGCCGAGATCGCGCCACTGCACTCCAGCCTGGTGACAGAACAAGACTCCATCAAAAAATAAATAAATAAATAAATAAAGACCTTAAGTTCTTAACGTAATTCTTATACTTATTTCCACAAAAGTAGCTTATTACATGTACATGTACATATAAATATAATTCTTAGGCTAGGTGCGGTAGTGCACACCTGTTATCCCAGCACTTTGGGAGGCCAAGGCAGGCAGATCACCCACGGTAGGGAGTTTGAGACCAGCCTGGCCAACGTGGCAAAACTCCATCTCTACTAAAAATACAAAAACTTGCCGGGTGTGGGGGTGCATGCCTGTAATCTCAGCTACTCAGGAGGCTGAGGCAGTAGAATTGCTTGAGCCCAGGAGGCGGAGGTTGCAGTAAGCTGAGATCGCACCACTGCCTTCGCCCTCCAGCCTGGATGACAGAGCAAGACTCCGTCTCAAAAACAAATAAATATAAATAAATAAATAAATACAATTCTTAGAACTATTTTTGTGATGCTTTCCATACAAATACATCAGTGATGTCATAGTTTGCCAAAATATGTGTCTAGTTTTTAGGGCACAAAAATACGAATACTTTCATTTCCTGACAATATGAAGTATGCTCTTTATTATGTGCCAGACACTGTCAAGCTAGGTTCGAAGGACACAGCGAGAACAAGCAGCTGTGGTCCAGAGAGAGCGCGTGCTAAGCACACGATCACAACAAGGCAGGAGTTTTATCTCACAGCAAGCAAGAAGTGCTCTGGAACAGACAGGCCAGTCCAGGAAACAGGAAGAAGTGCTCTGGAACAGACAGTCCCATCCAAGAGACAGGAAGAGGCTTATGGGAAGAAATATCACGTGAGCAGGAGGTAGCCAGATTAGGGAGGAGATGAGAAGGATAGAGGCCAAGAAAACAGACCCTGATAGAAGACAGAGCGTGGGCAAAGTAATTTGAATAACTATAAGAAGCTAGCGTGACTTCTTGGAGTGAGAGAATAGAGGCTGGAGAAATAGGAAGGGTCCTCATTGCCCAGCCTTGAAAGTCTAGTAAAGAGATCAGCTTCAACGCAGGTGTCATGCCAGTCATTGAAGGTTAGGTAGGAAGACAGCACAAACACACCTGAACTTTGGTATGATGTGGCAACTGAAGTTCATGAGAGTTATCAGAGATCTCATTAGCATCACAGCATTAGGGATAGAGAAAAATGATCAGGTGGCAAATGCCACCAGGTACAGTGCATGGGGCTGGATGGCTGATGGGGCATGGGGGTTGAGGGAGGGAAGAACTCAGGAGGATTCCTTTCTTTTTTTTTTTTTGAGACAGAGTTTAGCTCTTATTGCCCAGGCTGGAGTTCAATGGCTCTATCTCACCTTACTGCAACCTCTGCCTCCCAGGTTCAAGCGATTCTCCTGCCTCAGCCGCCTAAGTAGCTGGGATTACAGGCATGCACGACCACGCCCAGCTAGTTTTTGTATTTTTAGTAGAGACGGGGTTTCTCCATGTTGGTCAGGCTGGTCTCAAACTCACAACCTCAGGTGATCCGCCCACCTCGGCCTCCCAAAGTGCTGGGATTACAGGCGTGAGCCACTGCACCTGGCAAGATTCCTGAATTTCTTGCTTGAGAAAACTTGACGGTAATGGCCACTTTACCAAAAAGGGAGTTCTGGAAGAGGAGGAGGAAGGGGAAAAGGAGGAGGATGTGGTTTCATGGAAGAATGTGTCTCCTCTCTCACTGCCACACTGATCTCCACCAATTTCTTATTTGCTCTTTACACTTACTGTCTTCCTGGCTTCTTCGTGCCTCTCCCCTGCTTTCTCTGTTCCTGGTATTTACATTGACCTCATGTTTCTCTATCCATATGATTTTTCTCACTGTCCCTCATTTGAGTTTTCAGTTTATCTCTCCTCCGCCATGTCTCTCACTTCCTCCCTTTTGTCTCTGTGTTTCCGGGGCTTCCCTTGATCCTCCGTCTGCCTCGACCCCTCCAAGCATGTTCTTCCTATGTCTTGTCCTTGTCTCAAAAAGTCGTGTCCCTTCATTCCTTTTTTGGCTTTAACTCTACCCCCAGGGCCCTTTTCCCTCACCCTCCCCATTCTGAAGGTTGTCTCCAATGACCTTTCTTCCTTGCAAATCTGATGGTCACACACCTTGTTTGCCTGATCTTGTGGCAACTTCCAGCAAGCAGGACAAAATTATTTCCTTGTCAATCCTCCACCAACCTGGGAAAGCTTAGACATCATGTCCACTTAGGTAAAACTGGGCTCACTCCTAAAACTTGCTATTCCGTGGCCCAATCGTCCACCTCTTCCATACTCGCGCTCCTCAGCTTCTCCACCCAGGATGCCATGCTCCAGGGAGGCGTTCAGCTCTCCTTTGTCTCCTGCCTAGAAGACTTAGGGCGCATACTCTAGGGGTCCTGCCAGTGAGTGCCTCTCACAGTGTTGCAGCCTGGGCACATCACATGCCTCATCCTGCTTGCTTCCCTCACAAATTTGAAAGCGGCCAGAGGTTGGGCTCCTGTCACAAGCGAGGGGGTGGGGGGGGGCGGCAGGGAGAGAAGCCCTTCCTCCCTCCACACCCTGAGCTAATCAGGTAATTGGTCACTTAAAGGGCAGGATTCAATTGCAGTACCTTGTCTACCATGTGGCCGTCCACTGGGCACCTCTTCTGACCCTCTCTCCTTTTTTATTTGGAGATCCTTGAGTTCCCTGGGCACTGAAGAGAGAACATAAAATGAGAGACCAGATCCAGTGGCCGGGAAAAGGACTGAGATATGACCACACTGAGCGCTGCGGTTGGGAGCGGAAGTGAACTGCTCCTGGGGAGGTGATGCCCCTCTCCGAGGACCCCTGCTGTCCAGCCAAGTCCTGCTTTGCCTCTTCCCATCTTGTCAGACCTTGTTCTCTCTCTCTCTCCTACTCAGCCTCCCACCAGGATCCAGTCCCCAGGCTTCTGCCCTAGGAAGGCATCTCTGCATCGTGGACTTAGCCAGCTTCTCTCTTGTCTCCCGGTGCATCTGTCTCTCTCCTCTCCAGCAATGCTGCAGGAGGACGCATTCCTCATTCTCCGTTTTCCTTTCCCAAGTCTCTTCTTCTACATCTCTTCCAAGCTACATATCAGGCTCCAGTCCTGTTCTGTCTCTCTGTGTCTTTTTCTGTGTTCCTCACTTCAACTAGAAGACATGCCTTTCCGTTATGTCAGTGTCTGCCTGCAGTGGACGCTGGTCTATCCTTCTACTGTCATTCAGGACTCCTTGGGGTCTCCCTTTAGACACTGATCATTTGACACAGCACTGCCTTCCCCCTTCTGTGTGTGCTACAGACATCTACCACTAGTCACCCATGCAAACACCTGGCCGTCATCAGCCTTACCTACTTGGGTGCTTGTGTTTGCTTGCTGTGTTCCAAGAGCATCACCTGGGCCAAGGATAGAATGTTCTGGCTTTATATATGTTGACTTCACATCCCGGACAGGCTCAGAGGTTTCTGTTCTGGTTCCAGAATGGATGACCCCTAGATGACATTATGATTTCATAAATATGGCACTGTGATGTCATAAATCAAAACCTAAAGTTTTTATTTAAATGCATTAATTAATCAAATATCCTTTTTGTCATGTATCCCAATTATCAATGACATCAGAATGACCTTCCACAGCTCTGAGAGTTCGCTCATATTTCTTCTATGTCATTCATTTCAGAAAAAGTGATCATGAAATGCTGAACAAAGAGATAAAATTTGTTATGGACATTACGGTCTAAGGATGAGGGATATTAGGAAAAATAGAAAAAAGAAGAAGACCAAGAATCTAGAAACAGAGGCTAGTTATAGCACAAAAGTACTAAAGGGTTTTTGAAAAGGCCCATCTGGTATCTGAAAGGTGGCTCCTAGCTGCATGCCCCAGGGATGATGGATGAGGGTTTGTATGGGAGGCACAGTGGTGCCGTGGTCCTATGTGAAGGGCCCAACAGGGAAGAGAGCCTGTCCCACAGAAGGAACATGCCCATCATTTCCCTCCAGCCACCACAGCACAGGCCAATCACTGGATGTAAGCTCAAAGTACCAAGGCAGCAGCCAGATTCAAGCAGATGCAGGCAGAAAAACAGTGAAGCAGACACATGGGTAAAATGAGCAGGCTCAGCACCAGCAGGAACCAGCAGCGAGTGTGCTTAAGGGGTGTAGGAGGAAGAAGTCCTCCCAGGCAACCTGGAGGATAAGGACTTGTTATTGAAATCCTGAACTTGGAGACAATGTAGATGCAAACACTAAAAATTCGGGACAATCATAAACAGAGGCAATACTCTCTTCCCTTCCCCCCAGCACATTCCAGAATGGGGCAAGAACAGCAGAGGATCACAGCACAATCAAGAGGAACAGACCAACAGGAGATGAGGAATCTGAGCGTGACCAGGTCAGGCTTTGAAAAGGGTCTTCACAGCCAGGTGCAGTGGCTCACACCTGTAATCCCAGCACTTTGGGAGGCTGAGGCAGGAGGATCACTTGAGCCCAGGAGTTCAGACCAGCCTGGGCAATATAGTGAGACCCTATCTCTACAAACAATTAAAAATTAGCTGGGCGTGGTGGTGCATGCCTATGGGCTCAGCTACTGGGAGACTGAGATGAGAGGATCGCTTCAGGCCAGGAGTTCAAGGCTGCAGTGAGTTATGACTGTGCTGCTGCACTCCAGCCTGGGCAACAGAGGGAGGCTCTGCCTTTAAAAAATAGAGAGAGAGAGAGTTTTCACCATCTGGAGCTGGCCGCCTGATCCTTTTTTTTTTTTTTTTTTTTTGAGACAGAATCTCACTCTGTCACCCAGGGTGGAGTGAAGTGGCGCAATCTCAGCTCACTGCAACGTCCACCTCCTGGGTTCAAGCAATTCTCATGCCTCAGCCTCCCAAGTAGCTGGGACTTCAGGCATGTACTACCATGCCTGGCTAATTTTTTTTTTTTTTTTTTTTTGTAGAGATGGGTTTTCGCCATGTCAGCCAGGCTAGTCTCGAACTCCTGGCCTCAAGCGATCTGCCCACCTCAGCCTCCCAAAGTGCTAGGATTATAGGCGTAAGCCACTGTGCCCAGCCCCACCTGATTCTCGAAGTCAGACTCCAGCCCTGAGAGTGGGGGACTGGGTCACTGCACCCTTGGCTGAGAGGGTCTTGGCCAGACAACGCCGCTGAGTATCCTCCATGAGACATTCTGGTAACTGGCAATGGCAGAGTGAACCTGCCTTTGTCCCCACAGCTACCCTGCCCAGGGCCCTTAGCTCATTTCCTGCAAAGTCCTGGTTGCCTCATGCCCACCTCCTTTTACACCATACCCTCCCTCTCCACATCTGTTTATGCTTTCTCATTGGCCTTTCCATGAGGACTCAGAGTTTGGGTCACCTCCTCTCCCTCCAGCTCTTTGTATTCTTTTTTCCCTGGACCTTTTTTTCTGCATGTGTTTCCCCACTTTTGTTTCATGTTTCTGTCTTTTCCATTAGATTCCCTGGGTAACAGGAAGAACGTAACTTCTCTCACAGTAGCAGAAAGACAGAAACAGCCCATCATTAACTGATGAATGAATAAACAAAATGCAGTAGAGACATGATGGAATATTACTCAGCCATCAAAAGGACTTGAGATAATAATTCATGTTACCACGTGGAAAAAACCTGGAAACATCATATTAAGTGAAGGAAGCCCAGACACAGAAGGCCACGTATTGTGTGATTCCATTTACATGAACTGTCCGGAATAGGCAAATTTGTAGAGGCAGAAAGTAGATTACTGATTGCCGGAGATTAGGGGCAGAGGGAAATTAGATGATTGGTTAATGGGCATAGGGTTTCCATTTGGGATGATTAAACCATTTTGAAACTACAGACAGGTGATGGTTGTACAACATTGTGAATATACTAAATGTCACTGAATTCCACACTTTAAAATGGTTAACATCTGAATTTTACCTCCTTCCCTCCCAAAAAATAACAAAGGCTCTGGGTTCATCTTTTCTCACCTGATCTAGGCAACCCCATACATTGTCCCTCTGGGTTTCGGTTTCCTAATCTGCAAAATGGGCACATAAATAATACTAATCTCCAAAGGCAGCCATGAACACTAAACCCAGAGCTGCCACAGAGCAGGTATTCAATCACAGTGAGCTGTTCATAACACGGTTATTTTTACTGTTGTCCTTCAACATCTTTCAATTCCCCTCCTTCTTCCTCTCTCTCTCAAAATACCCTCATCCTCTTCTCAGCACATGCATCACTTCCTCTCTGTGTCTTTCTATGTGACTACCTTTCTCTTTGAATATTCCTGCTGCTGAACAACATGCCCCCATTTAAATCGGCCCCTTCTTCTGGCATCACCAAGAGTATCTTCTTTGACGTTGGTGGCCATAGGCACATCCTTCTTAGCCCTTCACGGCTTCTCACTGAATAAACTAGTCATTCACACTCAGATCCTCACTCTACCCTCCAGGTTATTGGGGAGAAAGTCTGTTTTTGCCACCTCTTGAGAGTGCTCTTGGATTCCAACTGGAGTCAGGTCACTTTGGAATCAACACAAAGTGACCCTCAACCAGCTCTGCCACCATCCCCAGCAGTGCAGTCTTCCCTCAGACCTCGGTTTCCTGTCTCCTCTTCTTCTTAGTAGACCAGAAAACAAAGTTTTCATCCAGACATTATTACCTTGTTTACAGCTTGGCTGAAAGCTGGGCATTTTTGGTGTCTCTTTTCCGTCCCTTTTCTGGGAAAAGGGGAGCGCTGAACAAAGAAAAGAATTAATTAGAGTCTGCAAGCAAGTGACCAGGAACCCCAACTCGTGACCACATGAATACAGCACCCGTGTGTTCTTACAATTCAGTGGGAAACTCCTAGGCCTTCAGTCACTCTGAATCTCAGTAACTTGTGACTTGGTGTTGCTTATTTCTTCCTCTGAGGCAGCCACGAAAGAAAATAACACAACACATAACCACTGAAATCCTATAGGTGATGAGCCTCTCAGGTTTTAAGGATGACGGAGCAGTAGAAAAATTGTAAACCATAATTAATCATCCAACAAGATGATCAGAGAGGAGTGAAAGCGTATCTCAATACAAATTCCATAAGTGGAATGTCTCTTGACCTGTGCAAATCTTCCGGAAGAAACAAAGGGGTTTCCTGAGGAGAAGAGCTAAGATCCTAGAGAGATGCCTGTAGGTAAGAGAAGCCCAACAGCCTTAAATGTGGGGCTAGAAAACAGCAGAGTTTTGTCTAAATTGGGTCTGGAAAGATGAGTGGTTCCCAAAGAGAGAGGACATGGTGGAGGAACTAGACAGAGTTCCCCAGGGGTGACCCAGACCCAAGGAACAAAGGGAGGACTCTCTGAAGGCTACAAGCAGGGAGCAAATATTGCCACACTGGGAAATGTCCTGAAACGCCTGGACCAAGGTCCCCGGACTCTGCCAACAAAGGGAGGCCAGGGCACAGGTTAGTTATATTCACACCACCTAGCACAGGGCCTGGGACATGTAAGCATTTCTTTATTTTTTTTTAAATTATGTATTTATTTATTTATTTATTTTTTAGACAGAGTCTCGCTCTTTGTTGCCCAGGCTGGAGTGCAATGGCGTGATCTCAGCTCACTGCAAACTCCACCTTCCAGGTTCAAGCGATTCTCCTGTCTCAGCCTCCTGAGTAACTGGGATTTATACAGGCATGTGCCACCACGCCTGGCTAATTTTGTATTTTTAGTAGAGATGGGGTTTCTCCATGTTGGTCAGGCTGGTCTCGAACCCCCGACCTCAGGTGATCCACCTGCCTCGGCCTCCCAAAATGCTGGGATTACAGGCATGAGCCACCGCCCCGGCCACATGTAAGCATTTCATGAATACTTGTTCAATGAATGACTGACCAAATGAAAGAAAGAAAAGCAGACCTAGACCCCAAAAGACAGGGGAAAGAATTGATTACCCTTTTTGAAGCTTTTATGAATCTCAATTAAGTCAGGATATTCCTTCAAGTTAATCCTGCTGAATAGGACTGACAGAACTGAACAATCAAACACCTTCTCCAGGTGGCAGAGAACGTGGTACACAACTCTCTGTACAGGAATCAAGTTTATACAAGCTTCTTGAGAATCCTGTTAAAAAAGTCAATGGAAAAAGTAAACAAAATAATAGCTTTAAAGTTAAACAAAGATCGACAATGTAATTGCATAGAATACTTCCATTGTTCTCAGTGTAGGTTACTATTTTTCATGTAATATTCTAGAACTTCTTAAATATTTGATCCACTGTGTTAGAAAAACAAGTCAACCCTTCCTCTTGACTTTTGAGTTTTCATCCTGCCCAGGATGCCTTGGGAATAAATCTTACGCTGATTTTGTTGACTACACAGTAATCACTGCCCCTGCACTCCCCACCTTCCCCCTATGGTATGAGAAGTCCTGAACAGGCTCCGGGAGACAGGGAGATGGTTCTTCCCTTGCCAAGAAGAACACAACAGGAAGAGCACAATCGCACACTGAAGACATGGCTTCCTTCTCTGTACCTCCAGGGCACTGTTCAAAATACCTGAATTCCAAGGCTCCAGAACTACCCAACAAAATTTAAACACTTTAGACGAGACAACAGCAAGGCAGAAATTTGTTTGATAACAATTATAATGGCACAAAATCTCTGGGGGTTTCATCTGACACACGTAGACATGACAAAGAAATACTGCTTCCATTGTCTTAGTTATCTTAATTTTGTTTTATTCTTGTATGTTGTATAAATTACTACATATTTGCAGAGCGTATCAGTTTCACTCCATCCATGTCACCATTACCGTCCACTCCCACCCCAATACTTGCTATAAAAGAACAGGGCAGCCGGGCACAGTGGCTTACGCCTGTAATCCCAGCACTTTGGGAGGCCAAGGTGGGTGGATCACTTGAGGTCAGGAGTTCGAGACCAGCCTGATCAATATGGTGAAACCCCGTCTCTACTGAAAATACAAAAATTAGCCAGGCATGGTGGTGGGCGCCTGTAGTCCCAGCTACTCGGGAGGCTGAGACAGGAGAATTGCTTAAACCCAGGAGGTGGAGGCTGCAGAGAGCCGAGATTGTGCCACTGCACTCCAGCCTGGGTGACAGAGCAACACGCCATCTCAAAAAAAAAAGGCGGGGGGGCTTCAGTTAGAAATAGAGTGCCTTGTCCAGGAAAGGTGGCTCACACCTGTAATCTCAACACTTTGGGAGGCTGAGTTAGGAGGTTCACTTGAGGCCAGGAGTTCGAGACCAGCCTGAGTAACACAGCAAGACCCCATCTCTACCAAAAAAAAAAAAAAAAAAAATTAGCCAGGTGTGGTGGCTTGCACCTGTAATCTCCCAGCTACCCAGCAGGCTGAAGCAAGAGGTTTGCTTGTGCCCAGGAGATCTAGGCTGCAGTGAGCCATAATTTTGCTACTTTACTCCATCCTGGGCCACAGAGTGAGACGCTGTCTCTAAACAAAACAAAACAAAAAGAAAAGAAAACAAAAGAAAAAGAAATAGAAGTGTCTTTAATGACATCTGTTTACCCCATTACCTTCTACCTTATACAATAATTAACCAGCAGAAAAGGGCCTTCCCACAAAAGGCATAAAAGGCCTTTCAGGCAGTTAGCAATATACTAAACTTTGAATCCAGGATGCCAAATATAAATGAATGTGGGGGCCAGATCACAGTGGGTGATGGAATAAACTTCACTTACAGCATACATCTTTTCAGTGATAAAAGAATTGTCTCTGAGGCTTTCAAGAAAAGGAAATGGCTTTGTTATTGCATTTGCTATCTCCACCTTATTTTCCTTGAAGTGATTGACAAAGATCTCACAGGAAATCTCCTTCTTCTGGACCGCTGCAAACATCCTAAGGAAAAAAAGTACAATGAGAAAATAAACATCAAGATTTCAAGATGCCTTTCCCAGCCAAAACATTCCAGACCCAGATGACTTCACTTGCAAGTTCTTCAAAACATACATTTAAGAAAGAATATAACCAATCTTACACAAACTCTTCCAGTGAATAAAGAAAAAAGGAACGCACTCTAACTCACTAGAGAAGGATAGTGTAATTCTGATACACAACCTGACAAAGACATTACAAAAATGAAAAGTACAGGTTACTATCTCCCATGGACAGAGACGGGAAAACAGCAACAAAACATCAGCAAGTCAAATCCAGCAATAGTTAAAAAGAATAATACATTATGACTAAGTGGGACTTATTCCAGGAATGCAAGAATTCTTTAACATTTAAAAATCAGGAAATGGTGCTTCCTTTGGCAGCACATACACTAAAATCAGAACAATACAGAGATTAGCATGGTCCCTGCACTAGGATGATACACAAATTTGTAAAACATACCATTAAAAAAAATCAGGAGGCCAGGCACTGTGGCTCATGCCTATAATCCCAGCACTTTGGGAGGCTGAGGTGGGCAGGTCACGAGGTCAGGAGTTCGAGACCAGCCTGGCCAACATGATGAAACCCCGTCTCTACTAAAAATACAAAAATTAGCCAGGCATGGCATGGTGGTGTATACCTGTAATCCCAGCTACTTAGGAGGCTGAGGCAGGAGAATCACTTGAACCTGGGAGGCAGAGGTTGTGGTGAGCCAAGATTGTGCCATTGCACTCCAGCCTGGGCAACAGAGCAAGACTTTGTCTCAAAAAAAAAAAAAAAAAAAAAATCAGGAAATGAATATCACCAGATTCACTTTATTATTTCCTTTATTATTTCCAAAATAAAGGGAAAAAAAAGATAATTTCAATAGATCCAGAAAAAGTGAAAATATAATAAAATACCTGTTCATGATTTTTTACTCTCAGAAAACTAAGAATAGAAAGTAACTTTTTAAATATAATGAAACATATAAACAAACAAAATCCTATGACTAACACTATACTTAAATGTGAAATACTAAATACTTTCCCACTCAATTTGAGAACCAGACAAAAATGTCTACTGTCACCATTTCCATTTAACACTTACTAGAAATCCTAGACAATGCAATAAGGTGAGAAAAAGAAATAAAAAGAATAAACCCAAAAGGGAGGAAATATAACTACCATATTTTGCAGATGACTATATACTTGGAAAATCTAAAGGAATGAATAAGCTATTAGAATTAATTACTAATTTCAGTAAAGTATCTGGATTCAAGGTTAATATGCAAAAATAAATTGTGTTTTTGTATACTAGCAAATTACAAGTTTAAATAACAATAGAAAAACAATATCCTTTTCAGAAGCATCAAAACCACTAACAATAAAGGTGAATCTAACAAAAGATGTTCAAGAACACTACACTGAAAATCATAGAACTTTTGCTGAGAGAAATTAAAGAAAGCCAAAATAAATGGAAAGGTATATTTGTGGATTGAAGACTAAATATTAATATGTAAATTCTCCCCAACTGATTCATAGATTCAATATAATTTTAATAAAATTCAAGTGGAATTGTTTGTGGAAACTGACAAATTGATTTTAAAATATAAATGAAAATGCAAAAGACCAACATTAGCCAAAAGAGTCTTGAAAAAGAATCACAATGTTTTAACTTCATATAAAGTTACAATAACTAAGACAACATGATATGGGCATAAAGACAAGCATATAAATCAACAGAGACTACAAGAAAGAGAAACACACACATAAGGTCACCAAATTTACAACAAAGACACTGCCACATTTCAGCAGGGAAAAGGATGGTCTCCTCATGAAATGGTGTTGGAGCAATTGAACACCCTACCTCATACCATACACAAAACTTTATTTCAAATGAATCATAGACCTAAACATGAAAGATAAAATAGTAAAGCTTCTAGAGCAGGTAGTATAATATCTTCTTGGCTTAAGGTAGGCAAAGATTTCTTGCAAAAGATCCCAAAACACTAACTATGAACGAAACCATTGACAAATTAGGCTTACTTAAAATTAAGAACTTTTGTTCATCAAAAGACACTATTAAGAGAGTGAAAAAAAAGCCACAGAATATGTGAAGATATTCACAACACACATCTAACAGAAGACTTCTATGTAGAACATGTAGAAAGAATGTCTAGTAATTAGAAGAAGACAAAAATCCCCAATTTTTTTTAAAAATGGGCAAAATCACAGGCATTTCATAACAAAATACTCAAATGACCAGTAAACATATCAAAAAGTGCTCAAAAACATTGTTTTTCAGGGAAAAGCAAAGTAAAAGCTCAATGAGATACCACTATGCCAAGATACCACTATCTATTCACCAAAATGGCTAAGATTTAAAAAAAAAAAAAACAGAACAAAACAAAAAAAACCTAGCATCAAATGTTGAGAGGAATATGCTGTTTGAAACACTCATACATTGCTAGTGGAGTGAAAATTAGTACACCCACTTTGGAAAACTGGCAGTGTCTACTAAAGCCACCCTATGACCAGGCAATTACACTCCCAGTTCTATACCAAGAAAAACAAAGCAAAACCAATAAAAGAAACGTCAGGGTTCAAATGTCTTTGTCTCACCTAGGTAACATTTGCAAAAGGGTAAGTTACGATAGGTAGCATTCCATCACCAGCTATCACTTGCCACTTTTTACCTGATTTCTCAGAGTTTAGTTTCTTCTACTTTACAATATGCAGTTGGTTTTATGACCCAGTACAAAGAAGTTTTGGAATAAAACTGAGTACAAGTAAATACATATAAAAACCCACATGGAGAAAGATGACAAAGGAAGGGAGAAAAAGACGCATATCTTCTGTTCACCTGCTGCCTTCCTGTTCCTGCTACTTTCTAGGCTGCAGTGCCCCATGGGGGCTGATGCACCATCTGCCAGCATCTATGCACTTTCAGGCCCAATTTGGGCTTTCCAACATGGCTCCCAGGGACCAGAACAAAAAGTCTGAACTGTCTCACCCAGAAAGTAGAAAAGGGAAGTGGAAGTATTAATATTTATGAATGCCTCTGTATTTGTGAAAACCAGGCCACAGATACTTGGAGTTTCTCAACTCTTGTGAAAATACGGTAGCAGGGAATTAAGAAGGACTTACAGAATCATGTCTGGAGGACCAGAAGAGGGTACAGCCCAAGGAGGAGGAACAGGAGGCCAACTCCGAGGAGTCCATGGAAGTCAGGGAACCATGTGTTTACGCAAAGGAAAGAGGGCGGAAAAGTCTATTTGACCAAAGTTGACTGAAGTTATTTCTAGGTGAAGTAACATAGTTATGTTAGAGAGAAATAAACCTCTATGTTTGCCTCCTCCCCTTGCAGACATGGCCATGGGGGAAAAAAAAAAAAAAACGGAAAGACAGAAAGAAACTTCCAAGCCTCTCTCAGGCCTATGAGTTGGCGGGGCACACTGTGACCTTGACTGGACAAGTTAGACCCCAAGCATTTGGATATAGGTTGGAGGAAGCTGAAATGCTCTACATCATAAAGTTGGGGGAATGCCCTTAGAGTTTCTAAAAAACAGCCTGGGAGGAAAAAGAGAAACCTCTGGACTACTGGGGCCAGAGGCAGGAGCCAAGTCGATAAAATAGCCAACCTTTTAAAGAGAGTACAGATATGAGGCTTTAAAAAAAATACCCCCGGAATTTGACACTCCTCCCATTGAGAGGTGGAGTCTGTGTCCCCTTTCCTTTAATCTGGGATCTGTGACTGCTTGACCAACAGAATGTTTGAATATGGCAGAAGCAATGCTATGCTGATTTTAGGACCAGGCCTTAAACCACAGGAGGGCCTCAGCCAGCCGGCCATGTGGTGCGCCATATTGGTAGTTGATGCTGCAGCCCTGGTCAAGCTGCCAGGAGATACCCATCTAGAGCAGACACACACCATCTCCACTGAGCTCTGCCCAAACTGCAGGTGTATCACAAAATAAAATAAGACATTGTTTTAAATCACTGCTGTAGGGTAGTTTTTTATTTCACAGTAGTATAACTAGAACAGATTTTGAAGTAGGATGCAGTTATAACAAAAACATAAAACATGGGGCATTTGGCTGTGGGACAGAGCAGTGGATGGAAACCTAAAGGTGTTCCAGAAGACATCAGTGCAGTGTATGGGAAAGCGGAAGAAACACTAGTGCAATCTGGAGGAAGGAGACCCTTGTTATGTCGTGGTAAAAGTTCTGTGAAACTCTCACCTGCAGTCATGGGGAAGTAGAAAATGTACCCAGCAAAATCAATGACCTAGAGATGTCCAGGCAGTGGAGCTCAGAAAGGTTTCTCATGGGATGGGCCAAGGGGATGAGAACCAAGATTATCTAGGTCTTAAGGGGTGAGATGAAGATCCAGCTACATTTTTGTGTGTACACAGTGATTTTTTTCACTCATACTCTGATATTATTCAACAAAGATTTGAAGTGACTTTTTAAAATACTGAAAATGTATCAGTACAAAGTTAAAAACAAATTGGAGCAAAGAGAGAATGAAAGTGGGACATGAACTAAAACCAGGGACCAGAACTCTGAGCAGAACTGTGGAGCAGAGACAGGGAGGCAGCTGGGAGCCCCAGCGATGCTGGAATCCAGGGTTTGAGGTGAGCAGAGCCCAAAAGGGGGGAGGATTCAGGGGCCCCAGGGGGACCATGCTCCAGAACGATGCTTTCCAAAGCATGTTCCACTGAATCTGACTTCTGACTGTTTTTTGGTTTGTTTTTTGGTTTTGTTTTGTTTTTGAGATGGAGTCTCGCTCTGTTGCCCAGGCTGGAGTGCAGTGGCATGATCTCGGCTCACTGCAACCTCCACCTCCCTGGTTCAAGCAATTCCCCTGCCTAAGTCTCCTAAGTAGCTAGGATTACAGGCAGCCGCCACCACGCCCGCTAATTTTTTTATATTTTTAGTAGAGATGGGGTTTCACCATCTTGGCCAGACCGGTCTCGAACTC